TGCGCATGTAAATCAAGCAACGCATTAGCTTCATTTATATGCTTGAGATTTGTGTAATTCGTACACAGTCACGGACAAACAGTCGTAGTCGAGAGTCAATATTCGACAATCGTAGTTGAGTCATACACAGTTGTAGTGTCGTTAAGTCAATTATACAACTTTTAATATCTTTAGAAATGTATTTGTTGTGCTAGAAGAATTTTTCCGTATGTCTACGTAGAACATCATGTCTTATTAAAGGAACTATTATCACTTTGTTTTCATGAATAATTGTTTTACTGGAGAACATCGTTTCTGGTTTGGACATTTTTCCAAAGATGATGTATATTTAAACGGGAGAATACAAATTGTGTTTTATTGTGTAAATTCTGGAATTTTCTGTCAGCCTTCGTCTGACGTGGTCAACCGCCATTATGAACCGGAACTTCAGGCACTATAAGACTGTGGGTTTTTCTGATGGATGGATGGGTGGATGGGTGGTTGGGTGTCTCTGTTCGTGTGTGTGAACCAATATAATTTTTTACTCAGGTGTACAATATACACAGTAGATAAGTGTATCTATGGCTTTGTCGTAACCTGTGTAGCACCATTTGTAACTGTACCCTTTCTTTCCACATTTTCATTAGGATAACAACATTACTCCCATTTGAGCTCATTATAGCACAAACAAATAGTCTTCGATTTTGATGTCCTTGTGAAGACTACATGTATAAGAGGATACACATGTTTGTGATTTGATTTGGATGCAATCGTAACCAGGAAGGAAAACTACTAATTTCCGAAAGCCACACTCCATGAAATCATGCGTTTTACGATAGTAATAACAAGGTTTCTGACATGTCAGGATCATTCGCACAGCATAGTCTTTCAAATATCGATGATACGCCAGCACAACACGTACAGATGTAGAGAAAACAACTTATTAGAAACAACAAAGTATTGTTGAAGAGATTCTGATGCGTATTAGACTATTGATTATATTTTGAAAACGAAAAAAAAAAACATTTTTGTTGTGTGTTTACAAAGCGAAATGAAATAGGAATCGAAACTTGGATGCATCTTATATCTATTTCATTACATGTTACTTTAATGATATTTTTATCTATGGGAATTTGCTTTTTGAAATCATTTCCGTTTTGACTCTTTTTCTTGTTCTGATAGTAAAAAATTCATGATCATAGCATTGTATTTTCTCAGACCTAGTTCTGGCCCTGATTAAAATGATAAATATAGATTGACTATCATTGGTCGACATCAACGTCATATTGACTTGCATAGTCAGCTATGTCGTAAACAACGTCTTTTTAAAAACAAAATATGTAATATAATTTTTTAGCAAGATTCGTTTGACCATTGCGGTTTTGATAGCTGCATTTAATGGAAATTATTCGGTAACCCTATTTTTATTATTGATTAAAATAGGAAATGCTGAGACAAAAGAAGTTATAGAAGACGTCAGTGCTTTCCATGTTGGGACTTCTTCCTGATTTGAACTTTGATTCATTTAAAACTTTTTATTGATAGGACTTATACTTTTAAGTTCTATGATTAAAATTTGGAGTAGATTCAAATTCATAAAATAAATTATTCCATTAAATTTACAAAGCTTCTTGGCTTCAATCGTTTCCTTGTTACTTTGTAATGAGCCTAGTCAGACTAGTTTCATACACGTATAGTTTTGAAATTTTCTTTTCATCTTTGTGATCCGAATTATCTCAAATGTTCTAGTTTTCATATTTTAAAAATTCTGTACATTGTGATTTTCTTTTATATATTTCATATATGATATCGTAGTGTTCAGTCCATTGTTTCATTGATTAGTTCACCTGTTGTGTTCAGCTCTTTTACACAGGAAAGAAAACAGCGTGGAGAATCAATACATGAAATGTTAAATATAACTTGCTTTTATTTTAAATTAGCTATTATGCTTTACCCTCACGCTTTTATTTTAATCGTTGTATGGAGATTAAATCCTAATAAATGCCTGATATAAAGCTTGAAAACTATTTGTTCCCATTGCTCAGAAATTATATACTACTAATGATGAAGCTAATTTTAACTCAAATTAATGAGATGCTGATTAGGAAAGCAGTATAATCTCATTTAATACCAAAATAACATCGCGTCCGTATAATCCATTTGAAAACTACAATTAGTAAAAACATAATGCTGGACATGGGTTTTAATAAATACTTTCTTGTCCATAATAAAATGGATTTGTTTCAAGAAAAAAATAAATATTTTGGTCAAACACGTTTACTTTGTCGTGCTACCGATCCTAATCTGATTTCTGTTTAAAGCATCTGATCCTACAAGATTAAGGATCGAAACTATTTATATTATCAAACGGAGAAGTACCAGTAGTAACAGACGCATGATTATTCATGTTACATTGAATATTACTCCAGACATGGCAAAGAATAAAAATAATTACAAGCAAGAAAGTTTGATCAAACACGAACCTACACAATATCTTATCCATATATCCTTCTTTCTTGTGACAAAATAATTGTATTGACACTACAATTATATCGACAGTATAATTTCTTGATTCAAAAAATATTAAACTATACAATATACCAGAAACAAGAAAAGGTCACACCAGCATCGTCTTTGTCAACATAGAAAATATAGTAACTGAACAAAAGCTGTTAAAAGCTTACAAAATGTTATGCGTGGAGATAATGCCAACATAACGGTCACACCAGAATCGTGTTTGTCGACATAGAAAATAAATTAACTGAACAAAAGCAGTTGTAAGCTGACAAAATGTTACGATGTACGGGATAATTGACTGTTTGTGACAAGTCTTTGCATAAGATAGTTGTACAACATCTATTCAATCTTTACAACTATTTATTTTCATTCTACATAAACCGTACAATTATTTCACAGGGAAAGCGTGTTCATTTGGAGATGTGAAAGTATAAATAATGGGGCACAATACATTTGAATCAGCGCACATTGCACGTACTATTGCCATTGAAAACAAAACGGGTTCCTGGATACGACGTCAGTTAAAAGGAATTATCACTTTTTTACTTAAGCTGTTGAAGTGTTTGCAAAACTATGCAAAAATGGGATAGATATCGAAACGTATGCTATTATCATATGTGAGACGTGGTTAACGAATTCATTCGACCAAAGCACATTTTCGTATATTGGCGCATCCGGCTCTGCAGAAAGTCGGGTAACATTGCATTTTCAAAACAGGATGTCCGTTAAAAGCAGAGCAAATGTTAATGTCAAGAGACGAATTTGATTAGACTTGTGTTTCGCTATTTTTTTCATAAAGAAAATAGTATTCATACCAACGATTTGAAGACGCTTTCTAGATATTTCAATAAAATAGAATGCTTGTTATTTGACATAATAAATATTTCCTTGATATAAAATACCTGCTCATGTAATTGACCTTTCCTTGTTTTTTGTAATATATCACATTGTGCTTAATACCTTTGATTTCTGTAATGTCTAATCCTGTGCTTGACGTTTCCGTAATACCTGTAATGTCTGATTCCGAGATTGACCTTTCCTTATCTTCCGTAATGCCTGATCCTGCTCATAATCTGTACATCATTTCTGGAATCTCTGATCCTGTGCTTTGACGCATGATTTCTGTAATGTTTGATCCTGCTTTAAATGTTGTTGATTTATATACAACCTTTTCCTGTGCTTCAAGTTTCATTGTTATCCAGATCTTATCCTGTGCTTGGTCTATCATTGGTTTCTTCAGCGTCTTATCATACATTTAATTTGTCCTAGATCTTTGTAATGTCTGACCCAGCCTTTAATCTATCCCTGATTTCTGTATATTTTGATCTTGCATTTAATATAGTTGATTTCAGTGCTAATCATTTCCTTGAGTTCCGTACTACAATGCCCTTGAATTATGTAATTTTCGATTTTTCCTTGATTTATATGATGTATGTACCTGTGTTTAATCTGTCTTTGATTTCTATGATATCTGATTCTGTTTTGTTTTTTGTTATTACTTTGATTTATTTAATCTATTATCCTGTGCATGACCTTTTATTTGATTTCTTTAGTGTATGATTCAGAGTGTTAACGATATATAAATTAGCATCTGTTTATGATGTATATAATCAGATAGAAAACTAGAAAGCTGATGCGAAAAACATTCGAATTTGATAGATATGAGGGTACATAATACTGTTTCCTATTGTGGCACAATAATCTTTGATGCAATTAATCTCCATTGGGCATTTTGCATAATTCATGATTTTAAAGCAAACGACTTACAATGAATTAATGAAATAGACACTTTGTTTCAGATACCATATTTACAGTTTGATCTGCATGGCATGTATTTTGTTGCTTTGCTAAATATAATGTAATGTCAGTTGTATAATTTTGCTACTGATTAATAAGCGACGACTATCTAAACCTCCTTTAGTGATATGAAAAATTACTCAGAAAGATCACAAAGCATACTCCCATGCAAAATATTATAAAGGGCAAATTTTACCCTCATTCATAAATACCATTGAGAGGAAATACATTGACAATATTGCGAACACATACTAGACATGTAATGCCACACAAATTGCATACTTACCTCAATCAATTATCATCTTCAAAATGTGTGCGATTTTGTAACTTGTCTCAATGCAGTACATGAAAATATATTTGCTTCTTGAAATTACGTGAAGAAGCAAACATACGGAAAGCAATGTAAATGTGAAAGAATAATGAGACGAAAAGAATTGTGATATGATATGATCATGAGTTTTAACGTAGCTTTAATACTTTAATACTTTAATACTTTTTCAATCATATCGCAATGATGTCTGCAGTGTGGCAGTTTATAGTGATGTCTAATACTGGGGCATCATGCCGCAGGCATGTAGCATGATGTAACACCCAGTCACATTATCCTGACACCAGGCCGACCAGTCCTAACACTAATCTTTTAATTCTGGGCGCCAAGCGATGCAGCTATACAGCTATAAGTTCCAATTTTGTAAGTCTTAAGTCTATGACTCGACCGGGGATGGAACCCACAACCTGACGCATCCTAGACGTTCGCTCTAACCACTAGGCCAACGGAGCGGTGTGACGAAAAGAAATAAATGAAACGAATGGAAAAACAGGTTTCATGCGAATCAACTAAGATAGACCTGATTCAAGTATTATTAAAAATAGGCAATGTTAAACAATTCCGCTGGATCTTGCAATTTTGTAATGTGAATAAATGTCAGTTGTATAATTGTTACTATTGATTAATAAACGATGATTATATAAACCTCCTTTACTGATATGAATAATTACTCAGAAACATCACAAAGCATAATCTCGTGCAAAAGTATACAACTGATAAATTTTGCCCTCATCTAAAAATAACAATGCCAATAAATACATTTATAACATTAAGGACACACACTAGATATATAATGCCATACAAATTTCATATTTTCACCTATTTATCATAATCATAAATGTCTACAATTTTTTGCTTGTCTGAATGCAGTACATATAAATATATACGCTTTTGATAGCTGCGTAGAAGACCTAGATGAAGAAGCAAAAAGACGGAAAACAATGCAAATGTGAAGGAATAATGAGACGAAAAAAAAATAAAAGAAAGAATTAAAAAGTAGTTAGCATCGTATAGAAATCAACTAAAATATATCTGATTCAAACATTATAAAATGGAGGCAAAGTTAACCAATTCCGCTAGTTCTTGTAATTTTGTAAACAACGAGATATGTACAACATTCAGCTGCAATGTTAATATTGGTAAGAAATAAAATATGACATTGTTTTGTGACTAAATATATGAATTAATAACATAAAAAACATAACACATTTTTAAAGCATTGCAATTTTTGACTAAATTCTTAGGTTAAGTATCGTGAGTTGATGTACATTGCATTTAAAGGCGATTATCACGTACAGGTTGCATGCATATGACGGTTTCTCTATGGCAACCAAAGATTTGATTCCACTTGACTGAAGAAGTGCAATGCTAATATTGGTAATTAGTCGCTGTTCCCTTTAATTCCTTTGCCTTTCAAAACTGTCCTTATTAAAGCAATAACACGCATCTACGTTTGTATTAAATCAGGTAAAGTCATGTCTCAATAGAAAAATAGCATCCGTATTTCAAAATCGTTAGCGAAGGATATGAAGGTGTATAATCAAATGAAGACATTTATGAATTAGTGATTCATAAGAGGGCGTGAAATATCGTTATCTGTCCACCAGTCAGCAAATGTAGAAGTAAATGTCAAATCCTAATTTTGTGATATTACCGAAACATTCATCAGAAGATAGGAATATGATTACTTTTAACACAAACAACGGCACCGAATAGTGTATATCAGTATAATAGTAAAGTAATCGCCATTTGTAAGAAGAAAGCTGAGTGCCGTTGAAGCTAATCCGAACCAGTATTGCTGTAAGAACGTCAGTGACAATCTGAAGGACCGGTCAGTTTGGTGAAATTTGAAAGACATTGCCAGAGTTAAATCCCAAGACATAGACGTGTTCAATTCTGTCGACTTGAACATATGAAGGAACCTCTAGCTTCTCGGGTATAAAATTTGAAAATACAACTGTTCCATTCATTTCAAAAGAGTGGACAGAGTCATTATACACTGATACATCAAACGATTATTCAAAACAAATATAAATGGCCATAGAGGTAATGCACTTTTCACACTATGACCATCAAACTCTTGGCAATATTTCTTCCTTTCCTCTAAAGTCCTAAATTTACAGTAGTATTTACCAACATCACGCGGCCCTGACACTTCTATTTTCTCCTGGTTAACTCCAGCAACACATAGCAATGCATGTTCGAATTCTATTATCTTACCTGTTGTGATCAATTTATCCATTACAGAGAATAATTGTAAGTCACAATTCTATTTTTTCAGAAGTAAAAACTTCTTTTATTTTTAGAAGAATAAGCTTTTGCCAATCATAGGGAATATATTTTGCATCCTTGTTAGTTTTATACAGTATTGAATTTTATAGAGGTTTTTTATTGGTTTGCAAACAATTGACGCGCTAAGCTGTTAGTTCTTAGTTTGGGTTGAAGTTTGGTTTGAAGTTTTGTTTTTCACAATAATGAATTCAAAAAATTATTTTTTATGTAAATACATAGGTGCGCTGATAAAAGTCTCGGATAAAGACATTTCTTGGAAGTTATACTGACTTAAAAAATGGAATAATATTTTCAGTGACACAAAAGCACTTCGAAACCCCACGTATGTCATTGCCTTGCATTTTGGATTTTATGTTGTTTGGAAAAATAATCTATTTGTTAAAGTTTACATAGGTTGTTGTCTACTCTTATTTGTGTTAATTATTTGAAGAGAATATACTTGTGGCATCATAAAATACATTTCATCCCTTAGTGCGATAAGTTTTAGCAGCAGAGAGGGTGAACAGGCAACTTTGCATGAGACTTTTATTTTAAAAAAAGTAAATGTTCATGCATAGTCTGAGAAAATAAAGTCAACAACGGTAAACCAATGTCTCTCATTTTTCTATTTCCACACGATTATGTATTTAATCGTATAATAACATATTTGTTCAGTTTATTTTTGTTATGCTACTGTTGACTTGTTTTTATGATTTTGTAAGGCGATTTTATTTACTCGTAAAGCGACTCAACTGTTGGCCTTCACCCTCTCTGCTGCTATGAATTAAACAGCTATTGTAAATATTATCAATAATGAGTATTGGAGAACAATACTCAGCTATTTAGCTCGAGAGCGATTAGAGGCAATTTAAAAACATATATCTGTTCGTGATTCTGTAAAGGAACAATTACAATTGCGTCAGAGGGATTTAACTGAGTTTGAGGAGGAAACACAATAATTACTTAAGCCGATTGTAGAACCAACACAATAAATTGTTACAGCAACTGCAGCAATACAACAAGCTCTTGCAACATTACCTGCCGATATTGCTCGTGCACAAGAAACTCAACGATTACCACTACCACCACACGTCCAACCTCCTCGACCACCAATAGCCAGAACTAAGTTAATATATAAATTTACTGGGAAGGAATTGCTGCTATAAGGGACTCAAATTAATTATATCATATTACCGCGTATGGATATTATGAAAGAGCAAGATATGTAAAACCAGAATATGTTAATTTTCTAAAACCTGCAAATTGATTTAGGGATGTATTTCGCATTTATAATGGTATTCTAGAAATCAGATGTAATGAAGAAATCAGAGGTTATAACGAATTTGTTTAAAATGTCAATGGATATATAAGAAATATTCAACAACAATAACACGAACCAATGAAACTGTTGCAATCTCAACCATCATCACCAGAACTTAAGTTACCAGAGGGACCAGTTCCACGACTACAATCACCACTAAAACAAGAGATACAACAACGACAACGAGTTTAACGACGAGAACAACGAAAAAAGCACTGAAATCATTTAAGCAATCACTTCGTAATTATCTAGTATCACCAAAAGTAACATCAAAACCAAGGAAGAAAGCACCATCGAAACCAATAGAAGAGGAAGATGAAGTATTTCAAGACTCTCCTGGTGCAACTGGAAGTGGTCTAGGTAGTGGTCTTATTACTTTTCCCAATAATGTTCATGCTGATGTTGAACGACTTGAAATCTACATTGGAGGAAAAGGAGCTGGTAATAATTCCCCAGAAATTATCAATGAAACAGCATATATTTGTAAACGATTATTTAGTGGCGGTATTATGGACATGATGTGTATCAGTCCCTCATTAATGAAATTGCAGATGATTCTTATAGTGATTAAGTAACAGTGATTAGATACAATTACTGATAAAGTCAATTAATAATAAAATGATTATGCATGGTGCTCAATGTGGACCTACCATGATTAGGGTAATAAACTCTCGATTACCATTATAGAAAGCAACTTTCGGAGATTGACTAGGTGATATTGTTTAGGGTCTATTTAGAAGAATAGCACCTAAAGCAATACCTATTGCAAAGCAGCTGGGTATGTAAGCTAGTGATGTTATTCGTGAAAAAGGTATAGACGCTGCTGGTTACCTTACTAGCAAAGCATTCTCAGCGACCATAATGGACTAACTCGACTAGTACGCTAACCACAACCCGTTGAGCCTCAAACAGTGAAATGGCCCCGCACTGAAGTGATGCCCGAAAGTATAAGTTAAATAATAAATCAAGCCGCTAATCAAAAACTACCTGAGTTAGTTGATGTTCCATTGTCGGAAAAAGAAAAAAAATATAACCGCTAGTCTGATATCAGGAATTGGTCTCACTTCCAAAAGTGGTCTTCTTGTGAGACGAAGTTGATTATAATAAAGACGTTTAAGCGCATATCTGATCCCGCATTTGATATGGATGCACCGGTTTTCAAAGTTGAGTCTGTGCGCGATTATCAGTATTATTCTTATGAGACCCGAATTCCAGATCAGCATGGACGAATCGAATTACAAGTTCAGGATACAAATATATATTTTCTACCCGCTGAATCATTTATTGAAGTCGAAGGTGAAGTTTTAAATAACGCTAATCCTGCAGCAACAGTAGCATGTGCAGCCGATATTAGTTTTGGTTTTGTTAATAATGATATTATGGCATTGTTCGATAGCGCTACATACATGATTGACGGAAAACTATATTGAATCAATTCAGAAAGACGTTAACGTTGCTACAACAATATTTTGTCTTACAGCGACGATTACACAAGATCAGATTTTTCATCAATGATGTTTGCAAAGGATACAACTGATTTTCCAGAAAGTAGAAACATGATTATTGGTAATGCGAGAAATGCCGACGGGGATAACACTACCCCTGCAGTATTATTGATGAATGCAATTTTTGTTAGGATTTGCAGTGCGTAAATCAATGGTAAAAGGTGATAAAAGAACATTTGCCTGTGCAATTCTACTATCACATATCTTTGGATTGTGCAGAGATTTACGAAATGTTATTTTTGGTACTAAGCTTACAATTGTACTCGTGCGAAAAATCACTGATAATGATGCAATATGGTGACCTGATGCAGCTGATGCTGGTAGAGTTATACTGACCAAACTTTCCCTGT